GCCGCAACCGGCGCTCCCTTGACTGAAAGGCACCTAAAACCTAAAGAAAGGCCTCAAGAAAGCGGAAAGCAACAGCAAGAAAGAAAAACCAAAAGAACCAAAAGAGATTACTTATAGTTGCTCCCCTATTGGTTCTGTGCTCACGTTTCTTACTCTCCTCACGCTCGGCCGTATACGGCGCTCCCTTGACTAAAGCTTCACCTGAAACCTACAAGCCTCAAGCAAAATGTTTGGAAGTCGACAAGACACGTCTGAAGCTGTTTCGTCTAATGTGTCGCACATGCGCATTCAAAGATATTCAGTGAGCCCTGCGGCATTCGATCTCAGTGAGCCCTGCGGCATTCGATCAGGAATCTCAAGCAAAACGAAACGAGCCTGTGGTATTCTGAAAGAAGGTCACAAGAGAGAGGGAGATGGAAATCAGCGGGAGTCCCCGAGAAATGGGTCTACGCACATGCTGCGCCCCTCGGTGGGGATCACACCACAGCCCTCAGTGGGACTCTGTGGCGACACACGCTTAGATTGATGCTCGCAAGAGCTGAATCAGTTGATGAAGTTCCACTTTACACTCATTAGCCCTTGACTCGATGGAACGGAAAGAGGCTAGAACCGAAAGGTGATGGAGTCCGCGAATTTGAAGGTGTTTGAACAATTGGTTTTCGCTTTTTAGCCGTTTAAAGCTCATTAGACCTTTTTCGCACTCTTAAAATTTGTGCAGGTACACAAGAAGGCGCCCCTTCTCGCTTCACCAGTTGTGAGCCCGTCTTCGTTGGTCCAGGGCCAGATCACAATTGCCTGGACCCCCTGCAAACCGCGTAAACTTCACCGAAAGTATCCGCAAGTGAATTATTCCGTGCAAACTCCTTAGGAGCAGGTGTGGACACACACGCACACACCTGAAGAAGCACAGTGCGCAGGTACAGTATGTACAGGTAGCACACCCGTTGTAGGAAGCGGCGTTCACAGTGTGACAGTGCAGTGCCTGTTTCCAGAGAGGTTGACTGGGTTGCTCTTGCTGGTTTGCGTCATGCAGCTTGGAAGGCACTGAAGCTTTGCCGTTCAAACCTTGCGGCCCTGCATGCTGCATGCTGGATAATTACTAGATTGGGGGATGTCCGAGGATGCACCAATCGGTTTTGCGTACAGGCAGTTTGCATACTTGTATCTTGCGCTTAGGTTCTGAGCCTTTCTTTCGTTACTTTCAAGGCTTTAAGCCGCGCCTAGACCGAGGTCAAGCCGGAGCAGAAGCCGGAGCCTCCGGAGCAGCAGGTGAAGCCGAAGAAGCCGCGTGGAGCGCCGCGGCAGAGTTGGGCGAGTGATGCGTTGAGATGTTCAATGTTATATAACATTATAGAAAACATTTATATCTAATTTCATTACTACCGATGGCTTCCAACCTAATAGCGATGGATGGCCTCCAATCTAATGAGACTGAAATAAGTCCAAGAACATTCTTAAAGCTGGGCACCATCCGCCATCAGCAAGTGATGCTGCCTTGACACACGTGAGCCTGTGCCATGCGGGCAGCACAGCGGGGCAACATGTTTGCACAGAACATGTGCCCACATATGTGCAAGAATGACAACACCGCGACAAAGAACCAGGGAACCTACTTGAGAACCCGTTTCTGGAGCCTGCCAGCATGACAGCATGACCCGATGTCAGCATCTCAGGGTGACAACATGTCGGTGTTTGCGACGTCCGCATCACAGCAGTAACCACAACAAGCCAATGTGACACATGTCAGCATATTGGCGTGACAACACCTTTGCGCGTCAACATGTCTGCAAGGTAGTATCACAGAGTGACAACTTACATGCTGACGTGACAGCGCACACCATATGAGCATGGTAGCCTGACGGCATGACAGCACATCCGCACGAGAACATGCCAGCAAGCAAGATGACACGTCAGCAATACTCATGAGAATGTCAACGTATCACCGTGTCAGCGCATTTGCAAAGGGAGGGCCATTTAATTTTGGATTTTTGTTTCCTTTTTTTGATTTTTTGTTTTTCGTGGCTTCTGGCTTCTGGCTTCTGTGGCTTCTGGCTTTTGAGGCTTTTGGCTTTCGTGGCTTTCGTGGCTTCTGTGGCTTTTGGCTTTTGTGGCTTTTGGCTTTTTGGCCTATCCATCTATCTGTCTATATCTATCTGTCTAATCTATTTATCTATCTATCTATCTTTCTGTCTTTCTTTCTTTTTGGCAGCTGTTCTCCTTTATGTTTTTGCATTTGCTTTTCCTGTTGTTTTCGTTGCAGAGACGAAACCAAACAAGGAAGCAAGCAAGCAAGCAAGCAAACAAGCAAGCGCGAGCTGCTCACCTTTGGATCTGGTGTGTTGCTGGGGGGGCGCTGCGCCCCCCCCAACCCCCCGGTGCCACGAAATCTGCACTTCATCCCCGACACCCGCGCCTGCCACGAAATCAATATTTCAAGGTGAACTCCCCGGTGCAAAACTTTCTAACCAAGCAAATATGCCTCCTCTATCTATCTATCTATCTATCCATTTATCTTTCTATCTTAATCTTTCTATCTTTCTGCAGTCAACATCCACAAAGTACTGCACCTGCCACGAAATCTGCACTTCAAGGTCCACAAAGTCTTGCGCCTGCCACGAAATCTGCACTCCAAGGCCCACAAAGTCCTGCACCTGCCACCAACTCTACACTTCCACATCCACAAAGTCCTGCATCTGCCACGAAATCTGCACTTCAAGGTCCACAAAGTCCTGCGCCTCCCACAAAATCTGCACTCCAAGGGCCACAAGGTACTACACCTGCCACGAAATCTGCACTTCAAGGCCCACAAAAAGTTTTATGCCTGCCACAAAATCTGCACTCCAAGGCCCACAAAGTCCTGCACCTGCCCGAAATGTGCTTTGCAAGGTCCACAAAGTACTGCGCCTGTCACGAAGCACGAAAAACCAAAAAAAACAAAAAAGAAACAAAACAAATTCCAAAATTAAGTCGTGGCCGGTTGCAAAATTGTTTTGAGTCGTGCGCCCGAACCTCCTTCGAAAGCTCCTGAACCACCTTTTTGCTCCGCAACTTGCTCCAAAGTTTTGCCGAAGGCTGAAGGCCCCGAAGCTTTGCAGCTGAAGAATTTCAAGGTTTCAATGTCAAGGGTGGCATGACTCACATGCCGTGGCATCGACATTGGACCAGTGATGCTGATACCAGTTCTTGTTTGGAGCCGGCCTCGCCAAGACGAGACCATGCTAAATTTATCACACGGGGTTCCGAGGCCTTTGCGCAGCCTCCACCAGTTCCACCACCTCCCAGAGAACTTCGAACTCAAGGATGCGGGCACTCTGTGACAATGTAGTTTCTGATATTTTACAGCCTGCCCAAGACGACCTAAGACCTTGGCTTAAGATCTTTGGTTTCCTGGCTCTGTATGATTTATATAAAAGTCAGAGATGTAACGGCCTTAATGTCCTATTTCTGTTCTCCTTTTTGAACGCTAATGTTTTATCCTTTCTCACTCATTTCATTTTCATCGTATCCCAGAGTGTTTTTTTCTTTCTCGAGTCTGGACGAGACGCAGTTCTCGATCACTTCTGTAAAGGACGTGATCCAAGTGCTGAGCTTTTGCTTCCCTCAGTTGCTGCAGAACGTGCGCTCCATCGAGAGACCAGCCGTGCACAGAACTTGGTTGCGCTACCACAGCTCACACGACTCAGGCGGGCAGTGTTTTTTCTAAAGTTTGTGCACCATATTCGCTACTTGCAATGCTGATGCAATTAATATGAAAAAACTAACTAAATTCAAATGTTTTTTAATGATTTTAAATTGCTTTTAATTGATTGTGTGACTGGGTTGTGGTCAAAGCTCCCAA